GGACTGTGCTTCCATTCCCCCTGGGGGCCATCAACCCCATCACCACCTGATCTCAGGGTAACATAGGAGTCCCCAGGGGCAGTATATGGTGGGAAGAGAGGGGGGAAGGAAGGCTAAAGAGGGTCTTAGGTCTTCCCACTGGCAAGTGCTCCAATTGCCACATCAAAGTCCTTTGACTAGTACCCCCTTTCTTCAAACTATTGCCCTGAGATAATCTTTAACTGTTAGGCCAAAAATATCACCTGAAATCTTCTTTAAAACCAGAGTTTAACTATTAAAAAATGTTTGCCCTTTGACTTAGCCTTGATGGCTTGACAATCAGAACTCGACTAGAGGAAGATAAAAAAAAGATTTTTTTTTATAAAGGAAAAATTGCTACAATTTGATGAACTTGACCTATACTTATGGATGTAGTAATTCAAAATACCAACTGAGAGGGAAGGACTCTTCACATAAAATATCAATCCTATCCCCTCTGCGTACAGGGTTGAAAGGGACGGGCAACTTAGACATTGGCTACCTAAAATGAAGGGGCAATAGAGGCATGAAGAGACTGGCTTGCAAGTTTTCAAAAGGGAGTTTAGTTTCAGTGTGTGCTGGGGAAGGTAGAGTCCCCACTGAATAGTTTTCATCTTGTCTAGAAGGGTCTGGTGAAAAGAGATGGGGATAAGATTCTTATGATTCAATAGTGAGTAATGGTTATCATGAATTTGTGACTGCCACAATTGTAAAGGTAGCAGTTTTGTAACAAAAACAAGGGAGTAGTTAATCTTACAGTATAGATACAGAGGACTCTAGGACCATCAAGAGAGAAGAGCATAAGTGGAATGTGAGACCCTATCCAGAGAAGCAGCGACACCAGAGATGGAGGCAGAGATGGGGACATGGAGAGACAGAGCAGCTGAGGACTCTGGACTCATAGAAAGAGAAAGGCTACATGCTGATGGCCAGGAGGCAGGCTTGCAGAATGTACCCTTTGGTTGTTTAAATGATTGTATGCTCCTGTGTACATCCCCACCCCAAAACAAAACAAAACAAAACAACAAAACAAAAAAAAAACAGAGGGAATGGAAGCAAACACTGTAGAATGATGATGCACAGAGGGGACTGTAATCATTGCAATGAAACAATGGTGTAAAGCCGATGTTTTCCCATGTAAACGATCACTCAGTTCACAATAAAAACTTTAAAAAATAGTATTATAAAAGATGCTTATAATAAAGTGTCATTTGAACACACACACACATACAAAAAAAAAACAAAATCATGTTTACCATCTAAACCCCAGTACTTGGCACAATAAATTCCTGTTGACAAAATTGTGGGGTTTTTTGTAAATTTTTGTAAATGCTTGCCTTGAGCATTATGCTCTTTTAAAAACTATCTATATGAGATTATTGACAATAGCAACTCAAAATATTAGACAGGAAGTTTAGGGGGCAAGAAGGGTTACACTAATGGAGAATGAACCGAAAAATGCAGTGGGAGAATGGTTTGCACACCTTGAAGAATATCACATGTAGAAACTGTTGAATTGGTGTATGTTTTGCTGTGTATATCCTCAACAACAAAACAAAGTGCACTGGAAAATGACTAATACTTTGAGTAGACATATATTTACGTTTGAACAAAAGTCAAAATTATTCCAAACCGGAAGAGAGGGAGAGCCTTCAAGACAATGAATACTGCTGCTCCCAAAAGTGAATTTTGGTAAATGCGTCAGGTCTAGGATGGAACTTTTAATTAAGCAAATAATAGGAGGGTTGGGTTGCACAGATTTTTGTTTTTATTTTATTAGTTGCACAGATTTTGGGGATTTATTCTGTTGTGCATTTCTTAGGACTGCAGTAATTACCTATAGAGAACAGTATGAGTGTGTGGGTGGGGGCTCTACCAGGAGGTTAATGCTGACCCTTGTCCTTTGAAAGGGTTTTCACGTGTTGGTTTCCTCAGTAATCAGTGTTGTCTTCAGCACTTAGCCTTGTACATAGCTGAGGAAATCAAGTGGCATGAAGCTCTGATGACCCTGGTCACAGAGCTGGCCAGCACAAGACTTTTTGTCTTTCTTTTTGGTAAAAGTAGCTTTGATATTCACCCGCTGCGATAATAGATAATATCACTATGGGTCCCTGAGGGGCAGGAGGCTGCCTAATGGAATAAGCAGGAAAGCTGGCATGACCTGAACCACTATCTACAGAGCCCCCAGAATGCAGCTGGGAGCCCACAAGGCAAACCACAGCTGCTTCCAGAATGCAGACCTGGGTCTTCCTAGGTTCCTGTTGCTCACACACACACACACACACACACACACACACACACACACACCAGGGGCCAGTCTTCTCAGCTTTCCCACCACAGAGGTCTCCCCTCTATGCCCCTGCCCTCCAGCCCTCAAATCCACTCCTGTACACAAGGACTCCACCACTGGAGTTCCAAGTGTCACCCCCTCCACCTCCAACCTTCTTTTGGAATTTGAGAAGCGAGAAGGAAAGAAGTATTTTTCAGAGCCATAAACTCCAGCTAATTATGGTGGGTCAGGTGGCTAGAAATGAGCTTCCCGCAGCCAGAGGCTGACTGTCCCCAGGCAGGTTCTTGAGATGTACTGCTTTCACAGTTGAATTCACAACTGGGTTAACATGCAGATTTCTCCATAGCAGACAGAAGGACATATAGGTCATTATGTGGGACTTACATTCTGCACACTAGCAAAGGTCCCAAGGGAACTCAGAGGCCTATGCCGGCCCTGGAGGTAAAGACCCGGTTTCTGTTTCCATCAGAATGGTAGGATCAGCTCCCAGCTGAGGGTTCTCTGTAGAGCAGACACTCAGAGAGGCACTTGCAGGTACCCTAGAGTAGGGGCTCCATACTCTTCAGTCCCCCTTGGCATGGTGGTGGTGGTGGTTGATGTATACCATCCAGTCTGTTTCTACTCATAGCCACCCTGCACAGCATTTCTGAGGCTGTAAATCTTTACGAGAGCAGAAAGCCTCAACTTTCTCCCGCTGAGCAGCTGGTGAATTCAAATTGCTGAGCCAGTGATTAGCAACCTGATGTGAAACTCACTAGACCACCAGGGTTCCACACCCTTGGGTATGAAGGAGAACACAAAGCAGGTGGAGAGTAGCTCTAACCTCACTACAGAAGACCTTGGTCCCTGGCTCCCTAGTCTGCTCCAGGGTAGGGAGAAGTGGAGAGAAGGGGTAAAGAGCGCTACAGTCAGGAAGCACACAAGGCATAGTCCCGCCCACAAGGCGAGCTCCGCCCCTCGGTCAGCCCCTTCGCAATTCACCTAGCCCCACAGTCAGGTGCTACCAAAGGGAGACTGAAAGAAAGTCAGCTGCGCCTCTCGCGGGCCTATGGCCCGGTGATGGAAACGGAAAGATGTGCCAATCATCCAGCTCTCCACCCAGCGCAGGCCTCCTCACCCAACTGGGGTCTCCACCTCACCCACATCTCACCAACTCCCCCGACCTCCTACCTTACGTTCACAAACCCAGGTGGAAATCCCAGCCCAGTCCCCCCAGGCCAAACCACTGCAGCAATGTTCTGGGCTTTAGGCCAAGACCTCTACACAGAGCCCACCTCACTTGGCCCCCAAACCTTTAATTCTGACTCTGAATGCCTAGAAGTGGGCCTGGACACCATCCTCCCACCTACCACGTGGTTTGGTACAGCGGCTAGGGACCGCGTGCAAAGAGACAGTCTTCCAGGGAATTCGTATGGGATCATGGGTCTCAACACTGGCAGAACTGGGGCCCGCTGGGCTCCAACTCTACAGGGCAAAGCGGCATTCCTTCTAAGAGTCTATTTTTTTTATACTTTGTAATGAGCTTGGGAACTACTTCACATTTGAGAATCCCTAACTCTTGGTAACAAATTAATCCTAACTATACAGATTTCAAATCTGTCCCACATGTACAAGAGCTAAATGTCACACAAGAGTTCACAGGAGCTCCAAGGATGCACGATCCTTTAAACCACACTGGAAGGGGTTATCAGCCCTTAAACTTTTTTTTCTTGGGGGGGGAGGGGGCGGTGGTGGTAGTGGGAAGAGTCTTTGTCTTTAAAAAAAAAAAGGGCACGCTTGCTTCATCAACAACCGCCGGGCCCCCCACCCCTACTACTGTCTCTCAGGCGGCACGGCAAGGGGCAGTCACAGGCAGGTGTGGTCTTTCCCGGAGCTCCCCGGGCCCGGGAGCGCCCCCACAGACCGGATGGGCGGGGGCCACCCACAAAGAGCCGGGCGGGAACAGGGTCCCCCCTCGCTCCGCCCCGCTCCACCCACCCACGACGGCCAGCACCACCGCTAGCTCTGCTTAAGACCAAATTAAACCTTGTTGTTAAGTAACGTCGAGTCGGTTCTGACTCACAGCGACCCTGCATAGGGTTTCCGAGGAGCGGCTGGTAAACCTTAGAGAGCTGCAATAAATTGCAGGAAGAGGAGAGCAAAGAATGTGCCGAGAGAACGGATAGGAGCGAAGCCTCTGTCCCCAAGGGAACTTTGCCCATCGGGCACCCGGACCCGTCTCCGCCCTTCTCAAGCGCGCGCCCTGAGGGGGAGGGTCAAGCCCGAGTGCCTAGCCAGCTGCCTTCCCACCCACCACCGCCCACCACCGCCTAGAGCTGCGGTTGCGGACCCCTCCCAGTCGCACGCACCTGCCCGCCCGCCTACCCCCTCCCCCGGGCACCGATTACGACATTCGCGCCTGCGGACCCGCCTGAGCGCAACGGGGAGGGGGCGTGCCGGCGGGGGCGCGGTCGCTGGCTCTGTGGACAGGCGACTCGAGCTGATTCCGCAACCTGGGGCCGCCCGCTCAGAGGCGGGAGAGGGAACACTGAGCAGAGCGACCGAGCTGACCGTCCTCAGCCCTAGAGACCTTCTCGGGCGCGGCCCTCCCCACGGCCACGACGGCCGACGCTCCGGAGACGCGTCTGGGCTTACGCTGCTGCCCTCTGCGCTCCGAAGCCTTTGGCGTCCAGACGCCCGGCACCCCACTAACCTGTGTGAGTTCTCAGGTGTGCTTTAAGGTGCGAGGATTTCCCGTAAACTTTCTCGCAGCCCGCGTAGTGGCACTTGTGCTTTCTCTGCGGGGATTCGAAGTCGGAACGACTTCGGCCCCTCCGACCCCTTTGTCTGAGGCTAGGGTCGCAGCTCCCGGCTGGCTCCGTCTCCCGTTCGGGCTCCACTCCTGGCTCGGGCTCGCTCCACGCAGGGCTAGGGGGCGCGGCCGCCACGCCTCCGCAGCCCCGGGATGCAGGCTCCGCTGGCGCGGGCGGCAGCCGACACGGGGTCCGCGCCTTGCGGGCCGCAGCGCCCTCTCTGCGCTCCGCTAGGGTGGGCGCAGGCGCCTGCTGGTTGAGGTCCGCCAGGATCCGCGCCACCACGAAGAGGGAGGCGCTGTCCTTGCCGTCGAGGCGCTCCTCGGCGCGCGGAAGCGTGGTGGCGGCAGCGGCGGTGGCGGCGACCGCGCCCTCGGGCCGGGGCTCCGACCCCTCCCGGGGCCCGTGCACAACGGCGCGGCTAGACATGGACACGAGGCACTCGGCGGCGAAGTGGTCCACATAGGCGGCGGCTGCCATGCTCTCAGGGCTCTGCAGACGGGCGTCGGCGCTCCAGCAGAGTCAGCGGCACATCCGCACCCTCAGCCTCCTCGGAGATTGGGCGGCGGGGGCCGGGGGCGCGGCGCGCCTCTCCTAGGGCTGGGCTGGGCGCGCCGCCGCCTCCGCCGTCACCCGCGCGACTCCGCGCTGCGCTCGCCCGACCCGGCACTGGGAAGTGAGTGCATAGGGCGCGGGGGCCAAAGAGTCCCCCGGGGGACGGCGCCAGCGGTTGCCTGTCCTAAGGGTGCCGAGCGGGGGCGACGTCAGCAGCCACCGCACCAAGTGGCGGCCGTAGTCTTACCGCACATTGTGGCAGGAGAGACAGCCGCTGTGCGCGCCGCGACTCGGTGTGGGCGGCCCGGCCCTGGGGGTGGGCGGGGCCGGAGCCACATCTGGACCCGACGTCAGCCCCCAGCCACATCCTGGCGGCGCAGGTTACAGGCGGCCCGCGGCCACGGGGAGCTGCGCGCGCGGAAGGGGTGGGGAGCCGGAGCGCGCGCCGTCGGCACTGTGCGGCCACGCGCCTGGGCCTGGGGAGAGGTGTGGCCGAGGGCAAGGGCGGACACGATTGGTCCCAGTTTACGCGACTGAGCCAATCCGGGCGGCCAAGGTGGGCCTACGAGGATACAAGGCCAGCTCGCACCTATGGGCTTGCCTCCCGACTGGGCAGAAAACACCACCGAAATTTGAGCTGGGCGCCGGGCACGCCGACGCTCCCTCCCCCTGCGCGGCGGGGGCCTGCGGGGCATTTTCCTGCCAGAGCTTTTGCACAATGATCGCTTTGAACCTCGGCGCGGAAGGGAGAGTCCGCGAGGGCGCCCCCTTTGTCCCTCGGCCCCGCCCGCTAGGCCTCTGTGGGTGGGTGCGCCTCACGGGCCTCAGTCCCTGCTTCTCTCCAAAGCAAGGTTTGCACGGGCCGGAGGCGTGTCTCCAGCCAAGGACCCGAAGACACTTCCGTCGCTCCTTGGCGCAGCCGGCTTCCTCGGATGACCTTTCCCGGAAACTTAAGCGGCTTGCCCCCTGTGTGGGCTCCCCTTCTGAGCTCCAGACCCTGGGGCGGCCGGGCTGGGGGGCGAGGTCACGGGTGAAGCGGGCCACCCCGCGACAGCGGCTCGGCGACTGGACTCGTCCGTGGAGGCCGGAGACTCGGGGCGCGACCGCACTGCGCGAGAGCCCGGAATCTGCAGCACCCGGACCGGTGGTGCGCTGGGGGACGCGCCCACCGCAGCCTTACTGGCGGGAGAGAGTTACGGCGCTGCGATTCCGGGAGCCCGGGGCTCCTTCCTCCCCGCCCCGCCCCTAGGCCCGCTGCCAGCTCCCTTCGGCGGCCGGGCTCCCAGCGCGGGCTTGGAGGCTTCCAACGTCACCAGCAGCGAGGACCCCGCCCACCGCATCCCACCCACCCTCTGTCTGGAGTTTCCTGAGGAAGTGCTCGGCTGCACCCGGCCTGAGACTTCCCTGCCCAGACCGACCAACTTACCCTTGACTCACCCGCGCCTCGCCCCTCTTCTCGGGGCCTAGGCTACAGCCCGAGAGGCAAGAGCGCAGCAAACCTCTTTGCGAGTCTCTCCTGCTGTCCTGGCCTGGGGGACGAGGCTTATTGGCCTCTGGAATTGTTATAATTGTTCTAAGGAGTGGGCTGCCTGCTGAAGAGGTGGAGATTGTGGGCAGCCCCACAGGCACCTGCTCGTTGTGCACCGGGGATTGGGACAGACCCATCCTGCTCTTAGAATTCGGAGATTGGCGGAATTGAGTTTCTCGCGGAGTTAATTTGAGATCCTGGTTGAAAATACTTTTGTTTTTCAAGTAACAAAGAGGCAACTGAGAGGCCTTCTGGATTGCATGGTAGGATGGACTGTAAACGCATGAAGTTTGAACGCCCAGGAAATAAGCAACTTTTTCCTTGTGGGAGTGTGGTCTGTGGCCTAAAATTCCTTGTCGTGGGTCAAGCCGGTACCTTCCAGGGAGCCTGCCCAGCCTTTTGAACTGGGGTGGATTGGATAGGGGCCCCACTGGGCATTCCCACCTGGGGGGAGGGTTCCTGGTAGCAGGAAGTAAACATTCTGCTCCCAGACAGCTCATGATGATGGTTTTTCAAAGACCTGTCCTGACCCAGTAAAGATTCAGATTGTTCCTGGTTACCACCACACATCGTGATCACTGTTAGGGATGAAGTTGGCTCTATGCTGACTTACTAACCATCCCCAGCATCCCCCCAAACACACCCGCACACACCAACAGCCTCTCTCCCTTGTTTGCAAGAGGTGTCCTATCTCTTCACCTTCTCAGGTCCTCAACTAGGCCCCATTCTGTACCTGTACTGGTTTAAATTGGGCATCCACCTCTGAAACAAACCCAGCTCCATAGAGATGTGTGTAGCTGATGGCCACACATCAGGGAGGCGATCCCAACTGTGCCATTGCCCTGGGCAAGGGTCCCCTGCTCTGCCCCCCCCCCCACACACACACCCATCTGTAGCAAAGAGGTCCATACCCCTCCTCTGGAGTGTGGCTGCAGTGGGTTGAGCCTGCGCCCGGTGGCATTCCCTTGCAACACTCAGCTCATCACTGGTTCCTCAGCAATCCATTCGTGTAGCATTGGCTGAATTGTTTCTGTAATGGAAGCCCCAAGTCTGGCAGCCTTTAACTTAAACCTACCTGGCAGTATCTTTCCAGACAGATTATCTTGCCCAGATAAATCACACCATAGTTGTGGATGCATGTTGTCATTGCTAAGTGGAATTCTGATAAAAGTAGTATATGTATGTAAAGATACGTATATTTATATATAATACATATATTTATGTAAATGTCTTGGTGTGGCGCTGTGGGTTAATGCTCTGGACTGCAAGGTCAATTTGAAACACAAGGTTGGTGGTTCAAGCTCTCCAGCCGCTCCTTGGAAACCGGGTCACTGTGGGTTGGAACTGACTCCAAGGCACTTAACAACAACAACAGGAAGGTCAGGCCAGAGCAAGTGAAGAGGTGATTGGGGTTTCTGGGCACAGGTGGTGGGTGAATAAAAGGGCTTGACTTCAACTTCCTCCTGCAACCTCCTAAAGCAGCAGTAAGTCTGTCTGAAGGCAGACAGCCATAAGAACATGGAGAACAAAGGAGGATGTAACAGCCACACAAATTTTGAAGCTACAATACTTACTTAGCACACCTGAGAAAAAAGCAAGACCGAGATGGTAGCTGGCAAAGACAAACTCTGTGGGAGCCTCAAAAAGTACCAGAAGACCAGAATTAGACAGTGCCCTGCTCCCAACTACCAACTTCCCTGAAAGGGATCACATTAGAGGATCCCCAGTAGAGTGTGAGAAAACGTGGACGCCCCCAACTCAAAATTATTTAATAATAACATTTTGAAGACGGGGCTTGCTGGCCGGAAAGAGACTGAAGGAACCCGAGACTGATCCTCAACCACCTTTCAGGTCTAGAAAGGAACTCATCCTGTGGCTTAATTTTTAGCCAAGCAGTAAATAAGTTACAGTACTAGCAAGGTGTACCCACCATAGACTAAGCAGTCATTCAAAGTCACAAGGGTGACATACACCTAAGGACAAAGCTGAGAAAGGATAAGAAGGTGGATGGAATACAGATAGGAACCCAATAAGGGTCGATGCATGGAGCGGGGGCAGATTTTAATCATGGAGACTGAGCTAAGTTTATGATTTGGTGAGTGTAAAGCTGATGAGCTTATTTGTAAACCTTCAGCCAATTCACAATAAAAAGTTAAAAAATAAAAGTGGCACCAGGTACCTCTGGAAATGGGTGTGACGAGGGTCTAAAATAAGATGTATGCAGTTGCCCTGGATCCCCTCTCAGTGCTGTGCAGTCTGGCCACTGCCCCCTCCCCATGACAAGAAGCGGGCTGTTTATTTTCTGAAAAGGAAGACAAACATGTGGGGCTAGGACTCACCAGGCACACTTAGGGCAGAGGGATAAAATGAATAGGAAGAGGGAGGGAGGTTAAGTGAACGCGAATATTGGGAGCTGAGGCCCAACCTTGAGCCACCTTCCCGGGATTTTGAACTGTAGGCAACCAAACTGTCTACCTCCACTGGAGACCAGAAGGGTCCTTTCTGGGGAATCAGACCAAGTCGAGAAGAAACATCTAAAGATTCTGACATCTGCAGTTGCCCAACTGGACAACCAGCTCAGCCGAATTTGAATCATTCTTTCAGTCTCTCAGAGTAAATATGAACAGGTGGTTGAACAAACAAAACAATGTCTCGTGACAAACTGTGTCATGAAATGTGAAGCCCTTCTAGACAGCTAAAAGGCAATGTGGAGGACACAGAGGGCAGACAGAAGAAAGTATCTTCAAGACAACCCATAATGTCAGAAATAAAAGAAAATCTTGCAGCCTATGCAAAGAGAACACTCGTAGAACAAACAACAAAAAAAGAATTCTTAGAAATTTAAAATAAGGTAACAGAAATTTTTAAACAACAAAACAAAGCAAAAGTCCTCATGAAAGTGATTGGAAGGAATTTGTAAGGAAGATCAAAAATAACCAAAAAATATCAGATAGAAACCCACAGGGCCATCTAGAAAGGCCAGTAAGTGTATGATGGTGTGTTATGCAACAATAGAAAATCAATACGCATGTTGTGTTAGTCGGGGAAATAACCCAGTTTAAAGAGGCAAAAGGAATTGTGTCTAGGGAGGATGGGAAGGGAATGACTATTGTTTTTCATAGCGAATTATATGTAGTTAAGTGCCATGAAGCTGGTTCCAACACATACTGATCTGGGTTAGAAACAACACCCTTTCAGTTAGGTGTCCAGTGCTTATCCTATGTTGTTATTGTTAAGTACCGTGGAGTTGGTTCGAACTGCTGACCTTGCGGTTGGCCGCCCGACTCATAACCACTATGCTACCAGAGCTCCTTGCTTATCCTATGTTGTTGTTGTTATGTGCCGTGCGCCACATATATTGGTGTTCTTGTGTGTGTTAACAAAAACACAGGAAAGGGAG